CAAAAATGGGAAGACGCAAGTAATAGTCATAGTGGATAGATTCACTAAGTTTTCTGTTTTTGTAGCTTTGCCTGCAGAAGCAAAGACTGAATTGGTAATTCGGGAATTCTTTAACCTTTGGGTAAAAGACTTTGGACATCCCTTAACTATTGTGAGTGACAGAGATACCAGGTTCACAAGTGAACAATGGCAGCAACTGATGGATGTATATGGTTCTAAGTTGACAATGTTATCAGGTAGGCATCCGCAGACTAATGGTCAGACTGAACAGATGAATAAGATCTTGCAGCAGACTTTGCGCATGTACATTCGTCCCGACCAGATTGACTGGGATGAACAACTGCCTAAGGTTGCTAGTGCCTATAATAACTCTGTGCACCTATCTACGTGTAAGACTCCTATGGAGTTACATCTGGGATGGCGTCCACGCAGACCCATTGATCGATTGAACCCGGATCAAGTACATAAGCTTCTTGTAGGGACTAGTGAGTTTGCAGTCCAATATCAGAAAGACATTGAGAAAGTAAAAGAAAATATACTTAAAACACAGCATCAAATGATTGAACAGGCAAATAAACAGAGACGCCCGTCTCAATTTGCTGTAGGAGATTTGGTTTGGGTGAAGTCTAAAGAGTTTGCTCCTGAAGAGAACATCTCTCAGAAGCTTCTACCCACCTACCGAGGACCTTGGCAGGTTCTAGACGTAATTGGAGATGTGGATGGTCCTTCGTATGTCATTGAGATTCCTCCTCATCTACGTACATATCCAGTGTTCCATGCATCCAAGCTCTTACCTTGTGTAACGAATGAGCTCTTCCCAAGTCGCCGGTNAGGCAGGGGCTGCAGCTGCAGCTCCTGCTCGAGCAAGTGAGGAACAGGCTATTTCTGGCATCTTAGGGGCAGGTCGAAACAATGAGGGCCTGAAAATGGCCCTCCGTTTCAGGCTGGAAAGACTCTGGGTCTGAAAGACCCAGAAATAGGCTGAAACGGAGTAGGGCCTGCAGGCCCTCGTTTTTCAGCTTTCTGGCTGAAACGACCGGGACGGGCCCTGCAGGGCCCGTGTGGCTACGCAGTATGCCACAGTGGGGGTGCAACAGAACAGTAAGCTGAGTAGTTGAGGGGGCCCTCCCCCAACACAACATTTTGCGTCATGACGCCTTGCCAAGGGGATGGCCTTCAAAAAACAGGAGACTGGGAGGGGAGAGGAAGGGTGTGGGGTGTGCAGGGGCGTAGCCGGCCACCCCACAGCATCTTCTTATATCATCTCCCTATGCCGTGACATTTAGTATGTATGCATTCTCAAAACAAAAAAGCACGAAGGCTCCCCCACCTCCTTCCATGGCTAACTTGCCCTTTTCCTGCCTCACAAGCACCCCTCACCATGCAAGACCACACAACACCACCTTCTGATGATATCCCCCCTTGGCAACACATATGCGTGAAGCAGGAAAGACACAGTGTGCTAAACAAAATAATTGACGGGTGTCAGGGGGCGAGGGGCATAGCCACCCTCCACCGCCACATCCCTCAGCATGCGAGACCACAAAACAGCCTACAGGCTGCATACCCATGCTCTCCCAGTAAGTCCATGGATCCTTGCCCCAGGGGTGAGGTCCCATGGAAAGGTTCTTTTCTTTTGCGGACCAAAAGATCAGGCATTCTTTTGTCTTCTGGATGGGCAATAGGGTTATGCTCGGAGGTAGCCCGTACGAGTCCATAACCGTCTCAACTTGCTTTGAGAGAATATATCTGTAAACATGCAGCAGCCAGGTACCTGGTCCACACAATGAGTGCTGCCATCCACAGATTCCCTGACAGAGGCCAGTTGAGACATTTACACACTGGATCACACTTTTTCAGATCTTCTTGTTGATCCTTTCACTTTTTGGGAATTGCCCCTATACCCAGGCGCAGTGTCCATCTTGCACCTGTACTCCTTTCGAAAGATGGGAATTGCACCTTGTACCCAGGCCCAATGTCCATCTTGCATCTACAACCAAGAAACAGCCAGTGAAAATTATTTGCATACCCAGGACGGAGGCGGACCGAGCTTTGGTACTTCTCAATTCATGCCATACCCTACTACCTGAGTGCGCAACTTATGATCATACTTGGGACAAGGGTGGCCCCACCACATTATTCCTACACCTAACTACAGTTTGGCAGCAATTATTCTCATACCAAGTGGGCTGCAAATTACATAACTGTGCACTCATTCCTCTGCACGTGGGCTGCATGAAGAAACCGTGTGCTACGTGCATCACCCCACTGAATGGGATCCAACTACAGCATTACGAAGAACAACAATAGAAGTACACCACCATCAACCAGATGGAGCACAGCGGATTGCAGTAAAAGGGCCTTTACCCGATATAGGCCTCAGGCCTTGTAAAAATAGAGCAGCACGGGCCTTGTAAAAGTAAAGCATTGTGAAAAGGTATCTTGCCAGGACTCAGAAACGTGAAAACAGGTCAAAAGTCAAGTTCTCTATCAACAGGCACATCTAAATCTAAGGCAAAGGGCATTGTCAAAAGACTTACCTGTTCACCAGGAGATGTGTATGTCATGTCTGTTCGAGTAAGGGTGTGTCTGTACGTGTAGGCAGTGTACCTGTTCGTGCAATGGAAAGTGCCTGTTCAAGTAGTAAATGTGTCTGTTCGTTTAGAGTTGTGCCTGTCCGAAAGTGAAGTCAGTAGGCACAGTCCCAGTTCTGGTCTAAGTCAAGGGGTCAGTCCAGATCCAGACTTTCAAGTCCAAATCCAGGCCGAAGTGCCTCAGCAGCAGTTGAATCTCATTGGGACTGTACTGGGACACATGCAATGCAGGGTCTGGGACAAAGGGAGAGGCTGAATTGAGCCAATGCAGACCCAGCGAGGAGTGGCCAGCACTATAAAAAGAGCTGCCTGCCTCATTCCTCGCCAGATCTCCACTGGCTGCAATGCGTGGAAGTGCTGGTGCACTTGTGCGCTGAGTCAGGAGGAGCAGCGCTGGAGGAGAAGACGCGCTGGAGGGAGGAAGATGCTTGTACACTGGAAGTGATGCAGCCATAGCTGCCCAGCGAGTTAGCATTAGTAGTAGAGGGTTAGAATGTAGCTATGAGTAGTATCCAGAGTAGATCCTCATGAGTATTGAAGAGTGTGTATGCATCATAGGAGGAAGGGATTGAGGCTGAGAGCGTTCATTCAAGGTTGGCTATGGAAGATACTTACCTGAGTTGGATGTGACCTGCAGAGGTGGCGCTGATGAGTGGTGACCACATTGATGACTTGGAGACTATCTGCAGGGGTAGCATTGATTCACTGGAAGGCATATTGATGAGTTGGCAAGATATTGGTGTTGCGCTGATGAGCGCTGGACTCAGGGGAACTTTGAAACACTTTGTATTCATATTTCTGATAATATAAACTGTGAAACTCGGTCCTCATCTTCTCTATCTTTGTCTATTGTCAGACTACTGTTCATTGTGTGTGGGAGTACGATGCATGGCATGTACACACTTGCGTGAGATGGTCCCCAGGACCCATGCAGCAGCATGTAATCTTCACTATCAGCTTTACTTTCAAAAGAGACGACATGTGCAGAAAAACAAGGTATGCAAAGAAAGGATGGTTCCAAACAGGAATCTTACATTGACACCAACGGCGGAGACTAAGGCCACAAACCTTTGAGGATTGCGTTTACCCTAAGCCGTCTTTTGCTGCTAGCAACTGCAAGCTCATCAAAGGGAACAACTTTCCAAGCAAACAGTCTTTCAAACCAACGAAAACAAAATGAACAGGTAAAAGAACGTAACAACTGAATATTTGAAAGAGTGGCATGTGAGTGTGTGTATGTGTGTGTGTCCCTCCCTCTGTCCCTCGTAACGAGGGATGGCCGGGGGACAGGTCAGACAGACCAACCTGCGCCTGTGTCGGCCGATCCTCCGTCTGAACCAAGCAGCAACTTAAGGATACTTTTTTGCTTTACACAAACACATAGCGGACACGTGAGTGATGGGTCTTAAAAGTGACTCAAAGTGACTCATTTGCAGTACGTCTATGGGGCTGCATTTGAAAGGTCTTCCGACAGTGAAAGGCAACCATAGCGCGTATTGAAAAAGGCAGCCCCATGGGTGTGCAATAGGAACACAACCAGGCAGAGAAGTACAAGTCGGTTGTGCTTTCATAAGTCAGGAGTTTCCGCATAAGAGTATCATGACAGTTGTCAGTTGGTTATAGACGGAATATGGGATCTGTTTCACTGAGGAATGCAATAGAGAGAACAGGGACCCTGAGGGTGAGAAGGCGTATGGAGTCCAATACAAGAAATTGGCCGGGGGGGGAGGGAAGGTGGAGAGAAAGAGAGTAGAACGGATAGAGAGAAGTGGAGGGGAAGTAAAGAAGGAAAGTAGAACGGATAGAGAGAGACAGAGATAGATACAGGAGAGTGAGAGAGAGTGTGAGAGAGTGAGTGAGCGAGAGAGAGAGAGAGAGAGAGAGAGAGAGAGAGAGAGAGAGAGAGAGAGAGAGAGAGAGAGAGAGGTGGGGAGCGGGGAAAGAGGCGCACTGGCTCTAAAAACTAAGGATTTTACGGGCTGTGGCACAGGGAAAGTGTGGGGTGGAAGCAGAGCAAAGGTCATGATATGAATTAGCCCCGTAGTACCTCATCACATTTCAGTGCAAGGAGATTCTCCGGAATTATCAATGATGTAGAGATGTGAACAGCTTAAAGGAAACGGAATGAAAAGTGGATAAGGATGGAAATAGGCCTCGGAAGCACTGATCATCAGTAGACAACAATTTACAAGTTCTCCAGTCAAGCAACAAGTTACACATGAGACATGTAGAAAACCTGGGGAGTAACCTTTTTTTTTTTTTTCCTGCAAACACCCCCTCCAGTGCTAGCAGTGCTGGTAAGGGCAGACACCGCTAGCACAGGGGGAGAGGCTCCATCTATTGGTGGGGAGCAACACCTGCTGGAAAGCGGGTCCAGCATCCCATATACAGAATGAAAATAGAGGATACACCTGCAAGCATTGATTACTCTGGGGTCCAGAGGATTGACCGAGCAGGATACATAAAAAAAGGGGGGAACCTCTTCACCCCATGCCGGACACCGGGAATCCGCTGCTAAAAACTAGATCCCTCTCCTTTGACTAGACCTGGTGCTGTCCTGCTCACTCTGCTCCATACCATTGCGTCCACCATAGCTAGCTGGTGGGGCGCAAAGGGATCGGGAAAATCCGAGGGCGGCCGTAGCGGGATCCCTTGACCCACTGTTGTCCAATCTTTGAAGCAGATCTGATACTCTTTCTTGACCGCCTCCCTATTGCCATCCTGAATGCCTTCATTGCCATCCTGGGCACGACCGCCATCCCACTTGATGAAGGCGATTCGGCCCCCATCCTCGCCCCCCAGCCAGTCCCCTGAGAATTGTTAGATTGTTTGTTTTAGATCTTTCTGAGTTTGAAACAGATCCATCCGATTTTTTACTTTGCCATTGTGCCATAAGTTCTCGTTGTACGTATTGTTTAATCATGTCTGTCATTTCCTCCCCGGCTATGCGGACCTCTTCCATGGCATGTATACACCGTCTCCTCCAGATAGCCCACATGACGGCTCTCCTCCCTATCTTAAACATATTGTTTTCGATGCTGCTACCTGAGGGGGAGGTCCATGCCTCCAATAGTATTGCCCTCCAATCCCATGGCCAGGTCGACCCAGTAGGTTCCAGATTCTGTCCCACCATTGCCATGTTAGGACAGCCCCCAGACATTGCAAGAATGTGTTCTATGGTTTCCGGTATCTTAAGGGACGGGAGAGACCTATATAGGTATCAATCCACAAATGTTGCACTATTCAATGTGTTCATACATATACGTAGCAATACATGTAAGTTTTTCACCCTTGCAATTCCTGAAATGACATCATTCAAATTTGAGTGGACTTGAAAGACTACAACATTGATCGCACACAAACTTCTCTCTCTCTCTCTCTCTCTCTCTCTCTCTCTCTCTCTATCTATCTATCTATCTATCTATCTATCTATCTATCTATCTATTGCATGCATATGTGTACACAAACACACGCACACACACACACGCACACACACACAAAGCGGTGTACACACACATGGTTGTGTATCAGCTATCGCGAACACGTCATCATGATAGTAACTGGTGTCTGCAGAGGTGAGAATGCACACAAACAGACAATCAAACTACTCACGCCAAATCCCCATTACAGATGTCCGACAAGTGATCAAAACAACGGAAGCAGCGTTAATTTATGGAAGGAAGAGCATCTGGCCAGGTCACACGCTACGGCATGGTGTTGTAGAGTGTGTTACGGTATTGCAGTTCTCGTATTGAAGAGAGACATTTTTATGGTTCCTAATGTGGAACACACTTTTATAGGAGAGTCTTGAGGATCATCATCTTCTTTCCAGTGATAACAAAGCTACGCTCATTTTCACATTCATGATTTCCTTTTGATTTTCCTTCAACACCTGCCCACTTGTGAATGGAGTTGTGGAAACTTGGAAAGGAAACTCGGAAAGGTTGAGGAGGTTAAAAATGGTAACACAAATCATGAATCGCCTATTATCAAGTCAACTAGCTCAACAAATCCTACTCGTATAATCCTCCCTATCAAGGACAAAACAATGCACTTGATAGAACAATGATTCAAACAAAGCGAGAGATGCAACGAACCTGGACTTGAAATAGATGCATCTACAGAGTTCATACGTTGTGGAGCAGTGGGAGACAGAGTGAAAGGTGAGATCCCCTCGAGATGAGACCGAGACATGTATGGTCAAAACAAATCAGCGAGCAAGCTGCATTTTTTTCACTTGCTCTCCATGGAATCATGTGTGTTGATCTTTAGTCTGAAGTTTGGCTGCTGCGACTGACGTTGGCAGTAAATAGCAAATGTTTCTTCTCCTCCTCAGTTAAGGCTAAGAGCTTTGTCGCAGACAGCAAACGTCATGCAGAAGATGCTCCTTACTTTTCCTCTGTTAAAACACTAGTTCACACCACCCTGCGTTGACGAAGCTACCTTCCATGGCTCACGATCCGGCAACTGCGCCTTTTCAAAGTGGCCTGCCGCTTTCGCTGCCAGCTCAGGCCCGAATCTAAATGCTCTTACCTCGTAAACCGCTAAAAGTTGTCCTCTGCTTCAGGTAAACTGGCGGTTTATGGCTAAGAACTTGTGCACAGACTGCAAACACCTAGCATAATATGTCATTATATTCTACTTTCCATACGTTAAACCACCAGTAAACCGCTAAAAGTTGTACTCTGCTTCAGGTAAACTGGCGATTTATGGCTAAGAACTTGTGCACAGACTGCAAATACCTAGCAGAATATGTCATTATATTCTACTTTCCGTACGTTAAACCACCAGTACCTCACCCAAGGCAAAACTTGAGAATTGAAATTGTGTCAATCAGGGTTCTCTGGATGAGCTACTGGACCAAAATGGCTGGCGCTGGCAATCGAAAACAAAAAAGGTCTGCCACTGGAGGTTCATTTTTCTTTGGCGCACAGTGCAAATCCGAAAAAAGAGGCCCGGAGGTTCTGGCGGCTGGACTCCTGCACAGCCTTGTGCGCAGAAGGCAAGTATCAAGCAGTGAGGTTTCCAAGGACGGTGCCAGCGAAGACGATCCCCCCGAACCATTTGTTGGAGACAAACCTGAAACCGAACAATGGGATCACAGTTCAAAGTGGGTTGGTTACTATGGTTAGCCATGGTCAGACACAAAAGGTTCCTGGGAAAAAATGGGATTTGCCGTGAAACCAGGCACGCATCCACTATTGGGTTTTAAGTTTTAACTTTTTAATTTGTAAAGCAACAAGGTCCATCTGAGGTTCGGCTTGGGTATGGATGGGTCTTGTGGAGAGTTCCTTGCTGCAAAGTTCGGCATATACATCCTTGCCCGCGACAAAAAGAAGTGTGACATCATAATCATGTACAAGCACAAACAAATACAAGCATGCAAGTGCAAGGCTTATGAGCAGGAGGGATAGACAGAAAACCAGGTTACAAAATCAACTAGCTTAGATAGTCTTGTACCAAGAAGAGAGCACAATGCACCAAGATACTAAGTCAATAAGAGCAATACAATGAACTCTGATGTCAATGTTGCCACGCTCTGGTCACACCAACACACTATCCAGTGCCTCTCCTACTGTCTGGTGCTGACGCCCAGCCTACTCTACTCAGCCTAACTATTCTATCTACGTTCTTGCATCCAGATCAAATAGCAGTTGAGGACCAACGTACGTTGACGTCATCACCAGTGCCGACCGTCAGCATACACCAGGTATGTGCTCTCTCCTCCCCTCATCACACGTTGACTACCCCTCTGCATGCGGCTCCTTATCGAAGACCACCATTGTCAACACCTGCACCTGCAGGCTCGGCCCGACTATGGCCGCCATGCGCTCACTGCCACCCTCTTCACCACTCAGCGCCCGCGCGCGGCCCAGCCTGCCTGCATAGCGCAGCTTCGCATGACACTGCAGCAGCGTGGCCGAAATGCCTGCACAGGCCAGAATGCCACAACGCTGTGCAGACGCTTTCCTTGATGGAAAATGCGCCCGTGTCTGGCTGGCCTGGCCAGGCGTGTGGGGGGCCCAGTAGCTTGCCTCTGGCCCCAAGTATCTGCGCCCAGGCTCAGTTTCCGAAACTGGCCTGGGCCCCGTGCAGTTAGGCATGTTTGGGCAGCCACGCAGCTTCCAAGTGTTCGCAGCATTCCCATTGGCTCTTGACTCATGTGTGACGGCAATGCTGCTTTCTCATTGGCCCGCGGCCAGTCCGTGACGTGTCCGCCTCACACATCGTGTGCCCAGGGTGCAACCACCTGAGCCCTGTGCTCAACTGTACAGCGCAGCCCTTGCTTCTGGAAAGATCCTGGAGGCTCGCGTTGCTCTGTAACCAACTGGCATGCTGCAACTGTCTGAATCCCCACATATGGAAAAAATGTTGAAAACAGGCCCCTCTTGGATATGCAGGCCCGCCTCACTAGGGACCGTGGCTCAGAACACATGTATGTCTGATAAGGGCGCCGCGAGGGCTCAATCCTCGCATTCCATCCCCGTTAGCTTCGAAAGTCCGCTCAGATGCTTCTACACAGGTGCTTTTCCCTTCAGTCTTCATTCAAACTCTGCCACGGTCTGAGGTGCTGTCTTGACAAGCTCCTCTCTTGTGAACCAACGATCTTCTTTCAGATCTGTATGATGCCTGAATCTGATCCGGTACTCCCTCATAGGTTTGGGCAGCCTACCCCTGCCAGTAGGCTTGGGAATAGGCTAGTCTCTGTGTTCTAAGATGTCCTCGACGCCCATGTGGCCATCCATGGTTGGGGGCAGCATTGACCTTCTTGTTGGGAACAGATCTTTCTCAGCAAAACATGCAAGTTTGGAAGCGTGAAATACAGGGTAAGTGCGCCGATGACCAAGGATTCTGATGACGTACGATGGACCATCTAGATCACTACCCACAATGTCTAGGACTTCCCACGGACCAAAGTACTGCGGCATTAACTTTCTTGAGATGCCAAACTCCTGTCCCAGTTCACTAGCCTTTACCCGGACTCATTCCCCAACCTGAAAGGTGGACTGTCGCCTATGCTTGTTCTCAGAGGAAATCATTGCCTCTTGACTCTTGAGACTTTCTAATATGCTCGACAGCCTGCTGCAAAAGTTTCTCATACTGGACACCAAATTCAATGCTTCCAGGAGTTGCAGTCGGTCGGTTTTCAGGTAGGAGGAAGTCCAAAACAGATCTAGGCTTCCACTCCAAATGCAGCTGGTTGAGACTGACGCCGGCGGTGCTGTGTACAGCATTATTGTACAGACTGGCAATGAGAGGAAGTTTCTCATCGCCGTCATCTTGGATGGGCTTGATGTAATGCCTCAGCAGACGCTGCACCACACGATTCATCGGTTCCGTTTGACTATTTGCTTGGATGATTCCCCGAAGTCATTCGGAGTTGACTGCTCATCTGTTCAGCAGCCTTCTTCCACATCTCGCTTGTGAATCAGACATCTTTATCACTGACAATGGTTTTGGGCAGTCCAAAGTCACGCACCCAGTTATCCTTAATTAACTTGATGACTTGTTTTGTCTTTGCTGCTAGCGAGAAATTTGTGGTTGGGGGCAGCTATCTCCAGGTACGTTGTTCCCATTCCTTATCTACCCTCTCAATCTCTTCTTACCGTGAGGAAGTGAGTCCAACTTGAGTGTCCTCTCTTTTGAAAGGAGTCGTGTGCGCTCTATCTGCAGAGACAACATTCTTCCCGGTGGCGCATCTGGCAGGAGAGGGCGGTGCCTCTGAAGGGCCCTGGTCGAAGCACGGGTCACGGTCACCATGCCAACCCATGGGAGTAGTACATGCAGGCCATGCTGCTTTGTCCATTGAGGCTCTTTGCTACGCTGATAGAAGGGGTGTGCGGACTGACCAGTCCTACGGAGACGCTCCCAGACCGTCTATAAACATTTCTGGTTGGGGTCTGAACTGTCCACTGGCTGTGATCGTCGTCCTGATTGCGACGTTAAAGAATTCCTAAGGACTCTCGGAGGCTGTCCGTAAATTGCCTCTTGAGGGCCAGATCAGTCAGACGTAAGGCTCGTTGCACGCGAGGGTAAACAAAGGGCAGGCTGGTTATAAGCATACTTCTTGGGCACAGGGGTGGGCCGTGGTTGCACACCTTAGACACCGCACCTTGATGATGCTCATAGGTACGTTGGATACGGGGGAAGGGGGATTCCAATTGTGAACTCAACTGTACATCACTATATTATCCATTGTGCATACATCTGCTGACTGTAGTTTATTTTATCTTGATTAGTTGGTTGACAGACTGCTAACACCTAACAAACAACCTAGAGTAGGACTGTAATCTATCATAGTCAGTTCTTCTTAAAGCCTCTGTGCAGAACTAATCAAAGGTAGAGGTAGACTACACGTGTACAGTTTGTGTAGGTGCTGTTGATGCCGCTTGACTACTAGTCTAGGTAACTCGCCGGATATCTATCATTTTATTTATTTTTAGAACTGGTCAGACGTATGCGGCGGTAGGTCCCAGAGAGGACATTAGTGCAGACAGCGTCTGCCTAGCCCATGAGCGGATCAGAGGGTGGGGAGGATAGATCTGACGATAGGAGGCAGACACAACGGGATACCGGTAGGATACCCGTTGTGTTCCAGGTTCTACTACCAGGAGACGAGAGAAAGCTCAGGGCCGAGGCAAGGGCCCGCAATCTAGAGAATGCAAGAGAGGCAGCAGCAGCGTTTGACCGTGAGTTAGCAGCAGCAGCAGCTAGCGCAGTAGCACTTCAGCCACCTCTGTTGCAAACTCTATTGGTCCGAGTTTGGGTATGCCACCCAATGAGACCAGTTCACAGTCCATCTCCAGTACGTCAGGAGCTGGCACTAGTCAGATGGCGGGTTCGCAGTACAACTCGCCACCTCCACGCGGGAGCAGATGGAGCTCCAACAAGTAGAAAGGATTCGCTTAAGAGGAACTCGGACAGGCTACTAAAAGAGAGAAGGAGATTAGAGATAGGAGTGTCCGACTAGAGGGTAGGGAGGCAGACAAGGCTGCACTAGAGGGGTTAGATGACTCGACCCTTGGCAATAATGAAAAAATTCTTAAGGCGAGCATCCTGTCCATGCACGCATATATGGATAGTAAACTGGATACAATCCAGGACACCTTGGACCAGATCTTGAACGCCATGCACAGGCCAGGAATCGGGCCAGCAGTTTTGCCATCGCTGCCATTCTCAGCGACGACAGACCCCTATGCCGCTCAGTCCGTACCACCACCAAGTGGTACATCAGCAGCAGCCCTATCTCAGACTATTGCTTCTTCATCTTGCGGTCCAGCGACTGGTGCTACACCACAGTCGCCACCTGTCTCGCCGACGGGACAACAATTTCCTTGGTATCCCAAGACCCCCTTGAAAACACCTCCAACCTTCTCAAGAGACAAGAAGGATGAGGCTCTTGACACATGGTTGAGAACGGTGCCAGTGTGGCTGAGGGCACAAAGGACATTGGTAGAGGAGGAAGTGATTACTGTTGCATTCTACTTAAGAGGGTTCAGCAGCTCGCTGGCTAAATGGATTGGTAGCTTCAAAGGGGTTCGGCAGGAACATGGGTGATTGGGCGCAGACCCACACCCTAGAAAGCTTTATGGATTTAGTGGACGCACGATGGCACAACCCTCAGCAGGCACATATTGCCACTGATGGGTTGTTAAAGCTTGATGCTAGGAAGTACAAGTCAGTGCGAGAGCTTACCACGACCGTAGAGCGTCTGACCGTTGTCCCGAGAGTGGAGTACAATCCACAGGTCTTATTGACCATGTTCTTGAGATGTCTTCCCACGGCAATCAAGAACTTACTGGCCTGTGAGGCTCGGTTAGAGTATCACACGTTTGAGACATTTAGTAAGAAGGCCCTAGATTTAGAGGCTACACTGGGTAGTGCTCAGACCCCTTCTATGGACGAGAGAAAGAAGAAGACTCCACAGGAATGGAAGAAGAAGGGTAGTCGATTGATGATGGTTGATTCCGAAGGGAATCAAACTGAAATCGATGATGTTTCTGAACTTGTGGAGGGTGCAAAGTTAAACGGCGAGGAGAGTGCTGAGGGTAGCAACCTCGCCGCAGTAGTTAAGACTAAGGCAACGGGCCGCAGCAAGGGCGGTCAGCAAAGGAGTCAAGGGCAGGCCGCTAACCCAAACAAAATAGCAGCTTGGGTTAGAGCAGGCCTGGATCAAGAAGTGTGGCAGGACCGTTGGTCGCGAGGTGCTTGCATAAACTGTGGCGAGCACGGCCATACGCAGTTTGAGTGCAAGAACCTGAAGGTCTCGCAGAAGATCCCTCCTAAGGGTGGGTTTCCTTCTTCTCAGTCTGGGGCCTCTACGAGCTCCAGCTCGGGAAACACTTGGGGCCGGTAGAAGTTGTAGCTGCTTCTACTATCGTTGAAGCGGGTGATGTACCCTCCCCGTTTCAAGAGTTGGCTGAAGCTATCGACTCCTTGGTCACCCCGCAGACACATCCGAACCCAACTATACTCTGTACGTTGGATGTGTCTGAAGCCTTAGAGGACCTTCAACGTGAGTGGTCGACAAGGGACCCTCGTGAGTCCTGGGTGGCACTGGGTAGAGGTCCTAGAGGGGAGCATTTCATTGTGGAAGTTGGTGTGGGTGGTCGCAAGTGCGGCGCCTTCGTAGACATTGGCTCCACGCGAAACTTCATAAGTCGCGACTGCGTTGACAGACTGCGCCTAAAGGACTGGGTGCAGCGCCTTAGTAGACCGGTAGCATCTACTTTGGCCAACAAAGAGCGCATGTTGGTGGAGGACTACGTTAAAGATGTAGTCTGCACTTTCTCCTACCCAGGAGGAGAGAGAAACCATAACATATCATTCCTGGTGAGCGACGAGTTGCCCTTTGACATATTGGGCATGTACTACCTCGAGGTTGCCAAGCCTCAGTTTGACTGGGACAAGAAGGTGTTGAAGCACGAGTTGCCTAATGGGAGGACCGTTACACTGGCTAAGTATAAAGCCAATAGGTTAATAGACTCCTATGGGTGCTTACGCGCATCTGCCTTCTATAACTATTATAAACAGAACCAAGAGGAAGGAATGTACTTAGTATATGTCTCTGAGAAAGGGGAGGCCGTTAAAACTCCCCCAGAAATAGAGACAATCGTCGCTAAGTACCCTGATCTGTTTGAGGAGCCCTCAGGAGTCGTAGACAGGGAGGTTGTCCATGCCATAGAGATCATCCTAGGTAGTAAGACACCTAAAGGGAGAATCTATAGGATGGCTCCGCCCGAGTTGGACGAGTTTCGTCGGCAACTGAAAGAGCTCACAGAAAAGGGTTGGATTCGGACTAGCACTTTCCCTTTCGCTCACTAGTCCTGTTTGTTCCAAAGAAAGGGGGAACACGAAGGATGTGCATTGATTATAGAGGCCTCAATGCCATCACTGTTAAGAACGCAGAGCCTCTACCACGCATCGACGACCTATTGGATAGGGTGCATGGATGTAAGTACTAAACAAAGATACACCTAAAATCCAGCTACCATCAGATTGCCATAAGACCAGAGGACCAACACAAAACCGCATTTCAGACCAGGTACAGTTTGTACGAGTTTGTGGTGATGCCCTTTGGCCTTTGCAATGAGCCGGGTACATTCCAGCACGCCATGAATAGGATCTTCCATGACTACTTGGATAAGTTCGTCGTCGTGTACCTCGACGATATACTTTCTCTAGTAGAGCTGTCGAGGAGCATGCTCAGCATGTAGACAAGGATGGTATTAGGCCCGAAGATGCCAAGGTGGCTAGCATACGTGACTAGCCACGACCCCAGTCTGTGACTAAGGTCAGATCATTCTTGGGGATGTGTGGTTATTACCGCAACTTCGTAAAGAATTATAGCACGATCGCATCTCCCTTGACTGATCTAACTCGACCTGACACACCATGGGACTGGACCGACGAGTGTGAGACAGCTTTCAAGCGTTTGAAGCATGCTCTCTCACATCATGAGGTTCTCATGGTACCCGACCCGCAAAGGCCATTCGTTGTAACCACTAACGCAAGCCAATAAGTGTTGGCTCAACAGGAAGGGAAAAAGTTGAGACCGGTCGAGTACATGAGCAAAAAGATGCCAACAAAGAAGTTGGCAAAGTCCACCTACGAGAGGGAACTCTACGCTCTTTACAAGGCACTTGTCCACTGAAGGCATTATCTGTTAGGAAGGTTCTTCTACTTGAGAACTGACCATCAGACCCTCAAGTGGATCAAGACAACCAGTTCTCTCCGACGCACTCAAACGTTGGATTGAAGTCATAGATCAGTATGACTTCAAACTAGATTATGTGAAGGGAGAGTACAACAAGGTTGCAGATGCATTGTCTAGGAGGGCAGATTACCTAGGTGCGCTGAGGACGTTACTCGATCTTTGGGGGAAGCCTACAAGGAAGATCCCATCACGATGGACATCATCAACAAACTGCAAGCCAAAGACAAGGCCACCTCTGACAAGTTTGTGATAGTGGATGGGTTGCTCTTTCTTGAGAAGGCAGGGTTCAAAAGGTTAGTTGTTCCATGTAGGGAAATTTTACATAGTTTATTTTAAGGTGAGTGCCACGACGCAACCGGACATTTCGACTACAAAAAGACTAGTGCTAACTTAGTACAACGATTTTGGTGGCCTAACATGCTGGGGGGACGATGCAAGCCGCGGACTCAAGCTCCACTGGGGCTTCTGAAGCCTCTACCCATTCCTGCTGGCCCAGAGCAGAGTATCTCCATGGACTTCATGGATACTCTCGTGACCAGCAAGAATGGCAAGAGGCACATCTTCGTCATAGATGCTAGGTTCACTAAGTATGCTAGACTAATTGCCATGCCGGAGAGTGCAAGGACTGAACATGTCATCAAGTTATTCATGGATAACTAACTAACTGGGTGCGTGATTTTGGACAGCCAAAGACAATCGTTAGTGATAAAGATGTATGATTCACAAGCGAGATGTGGAAGAAGGCCGCTGAACAGATGGGCACCCAACTGCAGATGACTTCTGGGAATCATCCCGAAGCAAATGGGCAGGCTGAACAGATGAACCGTGTGGTGCAGCATCTGCTAAGGCATTACATTAAGCCCAACCAGGACGACTGGGATGAGAAATTACCTCTCATCGCCAGTCTGTACAACAATGCTGTACACAGCACCACCGACGTCAGTACTAATCAACTGCATCTGGGATGGAAGCTTAGATCTGCTCCAGACTTCCTCCTGCTTGGAAACCGAACTGCTGCAACTCCTGGAACCATTGAATTTGGTGTCCAGTATGAGAAACTGTTGCAGCAGACTATCGAACACATCAAGAAATCTCAGGAAGCCATGATTGCTTATGAGAACAAGCGTCGCCGACAGTCCACATTTCAGGTAGGGGAACGTGTCTGGGTCAAGGCTAGTGAGTTAGGACAGGAGTTTGGCATCTCTAGGAAACTAATGCCTCAGTATTTCGGTTCCTAGAAAGTCTTAGACATTGTGGGGAATGATTTGGATGGTCCCTCGTACGGCATTCCTATCCCTGGTCACTTACGCACTTACCCTATTTTTCACACCTCCAAGCTTGCACCTTTCGCTGAGACAGCACAATTCCCATCACGGAGATCTATGCTGCCCCCAACCATGGATGGCCACGTGGACGTCGACGACATCCTGGATCGCAGAGACACGCCTGTTCCCAAGCCACCTGGCAGGGGAAGACCTCCCAAACCTGCGCGGGAGTACAAAGTACATTTCAGGCATCATACTGATCCGAAGGAAGATCGATGGATTTCAAGGGAGGAACTTGCCAAGGAGGCCTAGTAAAGATAGAGTATCGGGATATAGGGGGGAGGCAGATAGGGTTGGGCCGCTGAAAGCACTAAGGCAGGTGGTTTTTTTCGGTCTGAATGTGCTGTTTATGGTTGCCAATGGTGGTCTTACGAATGATTTAGGACTCGGGGGATTCCTAGCAACTCATCTTAGGAGGCTCCATTGCTGATAGACTCAGTGATCTGCGGATGTCCGAAGCCAGTACGACGCTGGCCGGTGCTGGGGTGTTGCCCTGTAACCTGCTGATGCAGGAGTGTGAGGCCTGGTAGAGAGATCTGGGCATGCTTTGGGGTGGGCATTCCAAGGGACAACCAAGGGTTGTTGCTGGGACGACGCTGGTCGTAGCTGGAGCGAGTCGTGTTGCCCTGTAACCCAACAAGGTGGGGGTGTGAGGCCTGGAAGAGCTCGGAAAGGAGTAAGACAGTGCTGGAGAGTTTTAGAAGGGATTGCCAGGGACTTCGAGTTTTTTTAGCACTTGTAGGACGCTTGTTTGGCGATTTTTGCTGTGGGTAGCCCCCGTTTTTCTGATGATTGCTGTGGAAATTTTCTAAACAGCTTAGAATCTCCATAAAAAAAAGGGTTCCTAGTGTACTTGCAGCACCTTGTGTAGATTGCACAGTTGTCTTTGTTAGCCGCAGCCGGGTAATGGCCCCGGGATCTCAAGGATTTTCCATAAACTTCTCAAATTCTCAATATGATTTTGAATGGGACGCTGGGCCCGGTTCCCATCCCCACGAATAGATTGGAGCATGTCTCATTTAAAAAAAAAAAAAAAAAAAAGACAGCTCCTCAGATCGTGGCAGATTATGAGAAGAAACTGAAGGGGAAGGCACCAACATGAAGCATCTCAGGGGACTTTCGAAGCTAAGGGGGATGGAATGTGAGGAACAAGCCCTCAAGGGGCCCTATCAGACATCACTAAGGCCCCGAGCAAGCCAAGTGCCCGCCCTAACTGAAGGCGGGCCTGAATATTCGTCGAAAGCAAAATTCGACATTTCCATATGTATTCAGGCTCTCGCAGCACGCCAGTTGGTTGGGTAGACGCGTGAGCCTCGCATTGCTGCGTCATACAGTTGGCCCAGGCCTTGAAAGTTGCACGTGGGCACATATACACAAAGCAGGGCCGATACATTGGGAAGCAGGCCTTCGGCCTTTGGAAAAGCAGTAGCGCCGACGCACCTGCCTGGGAGCCCTGCACAGATGCAGCAAACAGCCCAAGTCCGGAGACTCGGCCGTGCCTAACTGCAAAGGGCCCAGGCCCTCAACTGTAGTCTCGGGCCTGGGCGCAGGGTCTGGGACCCAACCGGAAGCTACTGGAAGCTTCCAGCCAGGCCACACGCAGCATCTAGGAGGCTGCCACTTCCACAAAAAAAGTGAGGCAGCCCAGACCAGGCATGCTGGCCAGTGCTGGCAATGTGCTGCTGCGCTGCTGCCAAGGGCGCTGACAGGGTGCACAAAGGTGGGGCGCTGCACGGCAGCGGGGCGCAGGCAGCCATAGCTGAGCTGCTGGGCGCCAGGGGGAAAGAGGGCGATCTAGTGGTCTTCAGGGAAGGAGGCGAGTGCGGGGTCATCAAGGTCTGATTGAGGGTTGACGAGATACGTACCTGGTACATGAAGCGAGGTCAGCGATGGTGTTGACAGTCATGTACATCGGTCTTCGAGAGTCGAAGTGAGCCTGTTGCGTGAACCAGCTGTAGGTAGGATAGTCGGGTAGAGTAGGCTGGGCGCCGAGGGCCAGACAGAAAGGAGCGACTTTGGATACTGTGTTGGTGTGGCCTACGGGCTTGAACATTGGCTCATTACTTCATTGTATTGCTCTATATGGATGGATATGCGGTGCATTTTGTACTCTCTGCTTGGATACGACCACCTTGACATCTGTGTGATTTCGCAACTTGGTTTTCTGTATATCGTTCACACTCATATTCCTTGCATATTTAAAAAAAATCAAAAACATAAAAAGTGTAATGACCCGCCAAAAACACAAACTGAGAACACTGCTGATTTCTGGGATTTGTCACTGGAATGAATGCCTTGCTGTGATTCCCACATTCTGCTGTGGTCCCAAGTCTGTGTGTGTGCGTGCCTGCTGGTTTGCATGCCTGTCTGAAGTGCTTGACGGTTGTGTGTGTGCGTGCCTGCTGGTTTGCATGCCTGTCTGAGTGCTTGCCGGTTGGGTGTGTGTGTGTGTGTGACCCGCAAGGGCACTTGTTGGTTGCAAGGCCCGCCGGGCCGGTACTTACCTGTGGCCGTGATTGTGAGGGTTGCAGGGGGGTAAACACTCAAGTAGCGGTGGGGTAGGCCGCGACACTTAGAGCAGGTAGGCCGGTACCACTCGAGAAGTGGTATGAGTGTCGGGCACTGGAGTCCGAGTAGAAGAGGACAAAAAGTTGGCATTTTTAGAGGCCCAGTAGCGGTAGGCTAGAGGTAGGCCGGTACCAGTCCAAGTAGCCTGGGTCTAGGGCCTGTCCGGACAATAACAGAGCCTGCAATGATGTTTCCCTCCGAAAGGGAGGAGGTACCGGTTGCTGGGAGGCCGCTTGGCCTAGGAAGTCACCGCCCAGGAGGCCGGTAGGCCGCTATATCTTCAGGAAAAGCGAAGAGCTCTTCCTCATTTGCGGTATGCAAGGATTGGCGACATGCTGCTGGAGCGCTAGCGCTGGTCTGCTACAGCGCTGGGTGGAGGTGGTGAAGGCAGCTGGGCGCTCAGCCTGGCTATGGCGAGCAGCCCAGTGTGAGGAGGAGGAAGAAGGAGGTTGAGGGAGAGAGTGGCGAGGCACTTACCTGGCTATGGTAGACACCGTCTTCATTACCTTGTTGGGCGCTGCATCTGGAAGGCCCCAGTTGGGGTAGTACGGCACCAAGGAAGCTCAAGGCAGAGTCAGGCATTGCGGACCAAGTCAGCAGCAGCATAGCTGCTTTGGGTAGTCCTTCGGACATCAGCGCAGCACCATAGCTGCTTGAGTTGTCCCTTTGACATCAGCGCAGCACCCTAGCTGCTTGGGGGTAGTCCGCCATAGCCTATGCATGAGAGAGGAGGTTGAAGGAGGGAAGCCATAGCTATGGTGGACTTGTTGTTGTTGTTGTTGTTGTTGAGTTGAGTCAGCAGTAAGAGGGAACTTCGGATATTGATTCTGGTTCATCCATTCATTGTTATTATTATTATTGAGAGAAGAATAAGATTGGTGAAGAGAAGGAGGAGGACGAAGGTGGAGAGAGAAGGGGGAAATTGTCATTGGTCTAGCTGGTGTACTTCTTCTTCTTCTTCTTCTTTACCTCTCCTCTGGTCTTTATCTCTTTGCAAGTGCTTTCATTTCTTTCGCAATTGGTTGGCATTGTCTTTCATTGTGAATTTGCACTTGGGAAATGACCAGGATCGTAACAAAAGAAAGAAAGAAAAAAATGAAATGGGTGGGTTTTTCTTTTTTCTTCACAGAGATTGTTTGGCGGGCAACCAATAAACAATATATATATCGTCAAATAGACAACAAACAAGGGGCTGTGACAAACTGTTTCGTCGGAGTTTCACCGACTCATATACATATATATATATATATATCGTCACAAACAGAACTGCCCGGTAAAACCGTAGGCAGAGAGAGAGAAGAGGACAACAAACGAGGGGCTGTG